AGCTCAGGGTTTGGTTTTTTGGTGGGGAGGGGAGGGTGGTGGTTTGGTTTTTTTGTTTTGTTTTAAGCTTGTTAATATCTAGAAAGCAAGGCATGCTATTTCTTGAATACCTGGAGTTCTAACCTGCTAGTTTCATATTTCCCAGCTTCTCACGGTACCCACATCTGGACCATGAAGGCAACATCACCCCCACCACCTTCTCCAGGAATTGCCTTAGATGGGAAATCAGCACAGTGCCTAGTGTGGGCAACAGCACACACAGGCACGAATGTTCACGAAGGATGAAGGTTCATCTGAAAATGGGCTGTTTCTGGTCGTGCCAGAGTTGAAATTCCCTGAACAGAATCTAAAATATGCCCACGAAGCTTCAGCAGATTATTAGGCCCTCTCTCTAAAATTGATGAATTTTTTTTTTAGTGGAAGAAATTATGTAATAAATGGGGAATACAATAACAGTGCCATATACATAAGGCGTGTGCAGTATGCAAATACTACAGAAAACAAGTTCCTTTCTGACAGTGTTTGCAGTATTTCTAGCACAGCACAAATACATTTACATGGGCCCGAGGCACTTTACTCAAAGCCTTTACATTTCCAATACCTTCCTCCAAAAGTACCCTCAGGCTTCAAATTCTTCTTTTACTAAGCCATAAACCCCTGGCCTAAATTTAGTTTCTTGAAAATAAGAGACAAATTTGCTGTTTAAAAAAAAAAAATTCCTGTCAGTTATTGTATAATTCTGCAAATGGCAAACAAATGATAGAGGAGAGAAGAAATGGAAACATTTTTCTGTCTTTTTTTTTTTTTTAGTGGTACAGTACTTATTGCTAAAATCCTGTTTAAATTAAAGCATCAAGCTTGTTACATGATTTTCAATTAGGAATTAGAGCTTTGCTGAATTTGGGGGTGGGAATCTCCATAAAAATCAAATCAACATTGAAAAGTCAAACTTAAAGAAATCTTTATTTGAGCTATTAATAGAACCAGCCCTTCTTGAAACTAAGAAAAAAATCCAATTATTTTCTTAAACCAGGAGTGCAGCCTGGCTTCTCTATATCACTTGGGTTGTGACGGGGCATAGGTTTTATTTTATTGTCAGGCCCACTTTGGAGCCCCCACTGCCAGGTGAGTGAAGATACTTGCTAACACTGAGGAAGAGAGTCAGGGCCGAGTCCCCAGCAATGGCAACTAGCCGCATGGAATGGACCAGCTCGGGAGTCCCCAGCCAAGGAGCCCTAGCTGCAGCCCTCTCCTGTCCAATCCCTCCACCATTTCAACTTCTCTAAATATTTCGGAGGGAATGGAGCCCACTGCTCTTGCTTTGGAAAATAAACTGAGCCCTCTGCCACACTGGGAAGAGCCCTAGGCAGAGTCCCCATAGCTCCAGATACATCCAAGGCAAGAGTTCCCCCCAGGACTGGGCAGAAGCATCGTCTGAGAAACCTGGGGTACTGAACTCACCCAAAAACCAAATTTTTTGCCCTACAATAAACAAATGTCCCTGGATAATTCTTACTGTTGAGGAAACAGTCTCTGCCTTGGCAAAGGATTCCTAGACCAAGGGTGCTGCAACCACCTGCAACCACCCAATGACGCTGCAGACTCTCATTGGACCCGTCCCAGCAGGGTTCACTCTGGCCAGCCAGAAGCGCTTCCTCGGCCCCAGATGGCCTCCTCCATAGGTAAGGCAGGGTTCCCTCTGAGATGGTTTCCCCACAGACTGCACCAACCTCCCTGGAGGTCTGCAAAGACCAGCACCTAGGGATGAGTCATGAAGTGCTTGGAAAGTAGGTGGGCACCATGCAGCTGTAAACATCCCTGACCTCACCCCATCATCCCCTAGCAAAGACCCAGGCATCCAGGTGGCTTGGTGGCAAAGAAGGAGCACAGGGTGTGGGTGGTTGCCAGGATGATCCAATTCCATTCTTGTGCTGAAGCTGCCACTTAATAACAGCCCTGCTATCTTGGGCCAATTGTTTAACCTCATTACTCAATCTCATGTGCATTAAAGTATGATCTGCCTTATTGTTCGTGGTCATTGTGAAGCTTAAATGAGCTAATACATGTAAAATGGAGTTTGTGAATTTGTAAAACCCAATGCAAATGCTAGCTATTGTTATTTCACATGAATGCACATGCTCACACAAGCTTGGACCACCAGGAACTCAAGAAGAATGAAATTATTTGGCCATATTTACACAGGGCCCACTGAACCGCAAAAAAAAACCCCATAGACTTGGTATTCTTCATTTAGCTTCCAAAACCATCCATCAATAGGCTACTTCAGATTCACATGGGGCCCTTGTAAAAAAAAAAAAAAAAAAACTGATTCTAGGACCTTCTACCAAAACCCACAGAATCATAATCTCTGCAGTAAATATAAAAACGTGTATATTAAACGAGCTCTCTTAGGTGGTTCTGACATGGAGTCAGGTTTGGAATCCTACTGCACTCCTTGGGACCCGACATGCAGATTTCCTGATAGATCAGTGATGGAAACAGTTGTTGTGGCACTGAGAAGGACCTCTCTTTGTCTTTCCATCCCTCCCCTCAGACACACACGCACCAAGATACAGAGGGGTGCTCATCCACCAGACACAAAATACACCCATGAATATACACAACATATATATGTAGACACACAAATGCATAATATAGGTGAAAGAAGAAATAGACTGACAAGAAAGGGTGACCAACAATAAGAAGTATCAAGACTGTTAAAGTCTAAAGAATTCACGGTTATAAAGGAGACAGAAAATGGGAAGTGGGGGGGAGATGTTAAGACAAAGAGCAAGTGGTCAAAACTAGGAGACCCCTGTTCCATGACTGCACAGCACTATATCTGACATTAGACCACTGCCCCCACCCCATCCCACTACTCATGTTTGCAATTCTGCCTCAACCAGGAAGTTGTGAGAGCCACCCCCAGACGACAGAGGCAGAGTATGATCCTCATAGCAATGCCCAAACCCAGCACAGAGCCTGGCCTGTGGCTGCACTGGATAAAAGTGTGATCAACGCACAGCGGGGTGAGAAGAAGCAGGTAAGGAAGAACGACAACGTGCACAAAGGAAGAAACAGATCTCTGGTCCCAGCTCCCAGGAGTAAACCGGAATAAGCAAGCTTAAGGTAATGAAGTTCAACGCAAAACAGAGAGAGTTCCTGTCCCCACAGGCATCATTAACTGCATCACAAAGAGCAGAACCACCCAGGGAATAAGAGGAAAAGCTCCCCAGATCTATGGGCGGGTCCAAAGTGAGTAAGAAAATCGATCCAGTGTGATGAAGGCTGTTGGAAGGCATCCATCTGACCTTGTCACTCCCCTGCTTAGTGTACCCTCAAGGCCCCCTGGAACCCTCAAGGTCCTACCCAACAGGACTCACACATTCCCCCCAACCTCATCCCCACCATCAGCCACGTGCTTTGACACTCGGATTGTGCCAAATTCAACCATCATGCTGTGTCATTCCTCTCGGCCTGTTTAGTGCAATTAACCTCTACCTGAAATGCCCTCCCTACCTAGTGCCAAACCTACTGTTCTTGCTTCTCTACTCAGTTCGCTGTGCCCTCCTCCTCCTCCTCCATTAAGTGCCCAGGCCCCCATGACACCTAGTGCACACTTTTGGTCCTGGTCCATTCCTGAGCAAAGCCCCTGCCCGCAAAGAACAGGTTCTGCATCTCTGTACCCACAGCAGCTAGCACACTGCCTGGCACACAGCAGATCAGCAATAAATGCTTGGGGAATTCAATCAAGCATTGGCAAGATTTCAGAATGTAAGTACCCAAAGACAGTTAAAAGGCAATCTCAGAGGCAACTTGATATAGTGGAAAGATCCTGAACATCAGAGGTCTGAGTTCAAATCAGTAGCATCCTAAGGCAAGACTGAAGCAGTTTCCTAATCTATGGAATAAGGAGAATCCCACCCAACTTCTACAACTATTTAGGAAGCATCCACACGTACCTGCCACCTAGCTGGTCCTCTGCACTGTACTTACGCCCCCTTCTCCCTCTCCCCTCATAATTTTCAGTCTCCTGCTTGGGACCATAAGGTTCTCTAAGGGCTCTTTCACAGTTACTGGACGACCTCTCTGGACCCTGTTCATAAATGTTGCCTGGCTGGTCAGAACCCCGCCCCCGCCCCCTGAGGCCCCCTTCTGTGTCCCACGGCCAGGTCTGTGGAAGAAGAGACCGAGGAACCGGGGCTCTGAGTAAAGCTAAGACTGAGCCTGCAGGGAGAGCCCAGTGGCTCCGCTCAGATGAACCGCCTGGGCAGGAGTTGGAAAAGCCACTTAGACTATCATTTTCCCAACTCCCCACCAATACCAAGGCGTCTGTTTTTACAGGCTCTTTAGTGATGTTCAGGGCACATTCATTTCAACTTCCAATGCAGCTGAAGAGATCGAGGACAATTATAAAGCAAGGGTTGCGACAGGCTGGGTGGGCCCGGGCGGCAGCCGCCCGGGAGGCTGCAGGGCGCTCGCCCGCGCCGCACACGCGCGCGCGGAGCACCCCTGGGCCTCCGGCCTCCCCTGCTCCGGCCTGGCAGCTGCGGGAAGGAAGGAGGTCAACGCGGCCGCCAGACTTCTCTCCGGCGCCAAGCGCCGGACGGCCCTGCCACCTGACCCCAGCCCCCCCGCCCCACCAGCTACTGTCTCGCAGCGTCCACGGACCACCAACCCCCAGGCGGCTCGACCGCTGCGCCCCCGCCGCCCCGGGACCCAGGCGAGCTGTACCCAAGTTAAGAGCCCCGCTCCGCAAGGCAGCGCGCGCCCGCCACCCACACCCACTCCCACTTCCACACACCGCGGGGCCGGGGATGCCCCTGAGCTTTTGTAAAATCCAGAAATATCACACTGTATCCGCATCCGGCGCCGGGTTACCTGCTCTCAGCACCCAGACCCCCGCCCTGGCTTCCCGGGAGCCCGCAAACCCCGCGCGCGAACTGCGCGCCCTCCTGCCAACCACTGCCCCACTCCCGGCGCACAGCCAAACCCCGTACCTTGGGGGTCTGCACTTCGGGTCCGGTCGGCACCTCCAACTTCTTCTTGGTTACCCAGAAGAACAGCAGCACGGTGATCCAGAGCACCCCAAAGATCGGCAGCACCAGGCGGCGACTTAGGCGCCGCATGGTCCCGCTTGCCTTCTCCTCTGGGCGTCACTGCGCCCCGGGGGCACCCCCTGGCGGTCAGGGTCGGCGGGGCAGGTGTCCTGGAGAGTGCCCTGCTCCTGCGAGCGCTAGCCCCGGGATCCGGAGCAGGAGAGGACCGGCGGGAGCCTGCCAGGCGCCCCGCCCGCTCGGGAGAGCAACGAGCAGAAGGGGGAACCGCGCGGTGCCCCGAGGCGCGGCAGGCGAGGGCCGAGGGGCCGCCAAGCTGGACGACCGCTCCAGCCGGAGAAGCGCGGTGGCCGCCGAGATGCTCCCCGCGCCGCCGCCGCCGCCGCCGCGAAGGAAACTGACTCGAGCTGCGGGGAGGCAGGAATCCGAGGCTGTGCCCGGCACCCCGCGAGGAGCTCGAGGGGGAAGAGCTGGAGGGAGGGAGAGAGGGGGAGGGAGGACCGACAGACAGAACGACTCCGAGGGCGAACCCGGGCGAGAGTGAGCTGGGCTCTGAGAGCGGGCGCTACCGCCGCCCGCCCACCGAGACGCCGCCGCGTGCTGTTCTGGGGCCGCCCGCGCCGAGCCCCGCGCGCAGCTCGGGGGCCATCCTGGGATGGGGCGGGGCGGGGCGGGAACGGTGCGTCCGAGAGACTCGCCGCCCCCAGCTGCACGCCGGGACCCAAAGGCCAGCCGGTGCCGGAGGAGCGGTGCCCGGGAGGACTTTCCCGCTCGCCGCGGGGGTCTGCACGTGGCGCTTGCAGCCTGGTCCCGCTCTCTGTTCCCCCACCCTAGGGGAGCCGGCGCTGGGACCTTAGGACGCTGGCGGGCATGCTGCCTCACCCGGGGGTCATGCTCCTGGCCTTTCAGGGCCAAAGCCGAGTTCAGCCAACTCCCCAGGGTGTTTCTCTGCCTGCCTGCAGGTGCCTGGCAACTTTTTCTGCTTAATGGAACGCTGAGTTGGTCTAAATTTAACTTTAAAGAAATCCTTTTAAAAATTAAGGTGCAATTACCTCCCTTAAGAGTCTTCTCTCCCTGAGGATCGGGGTTCTGTGTTTGCAGAAAGGGGGTGGGGGTGGGGTCCAAAGTTGGGTCAAGGTGACTTGGAGGGAGGTGGGTAGTGGGTGCAGAGGGCTATCTTTAAAAAGCCCCTTTCCCCAAATGCCTTTTGGAAGTGCGTCCTCCTTCCTCTTGAAGATTAAAACTACTTGGGTCCAGAGGCAGAGCGCAGTCTGAACTGGATTCCCACATGTGCCTCAGCTAGGCTGGAATGATGGTGATAACACTGGGTGAGGAGTTCCTGGCCCCAGTCAGCCGCAATAGCTGTGTGAATCATGGAGACCTCAGGAGGCTTAGATTCCTCATCTGTAAAATAGGGACGATTTACAAGTGAACGAATAGTTGTGAAAGCTAAGTGCAAGGTGCTGGTGTTACTTGATCATCTGATCCCTGAAAGAGGCAGAGAAGGACACCTTGCTCTCCCTGGGGAACAGTGCCATCTTATGTGTGGAGCCTGACTTGGAAGAATGCTTATCTCATCAAGTTGTTGGTGAGGTGAAGGTGATGCACCTGCTACTGTAGCCGTCATCCTCTTGGCCTCTCCCTACAGGGCCCAGCATAGGAGGGAGGGCAGGTGTAAAGCAGGGCTCCAGAATCCACTCTTCAGGAAGAGAAGCCAGCAAAAAGTGGAGTCAAAAATGGAGGCATCTGCCTCGGTATTTGGTACACTGTCTTTTAGTCACAGGACAGTCTTTCCTCCTAGCCCCAACGTGTTCTTGGCTCAGCTGTAGATAAGAAGTTTTGGGTGGGAACAAAGATAGAAAATAAAACAGCCCAGAAAAGCTGAGCACACTTGCCAGCCCATCTCAACATTCAGCTAAGCTCTCAGACCATGACACAGAACCATTCGCCTTATTAGAACTCTGTACTCTGAAAGGTTGGGGTAGGCTCCCCAGCCACTGCTTTTGCTGGGCAGAGGTCCAGGTAGATCACGGTCTGGGAGGGCTGGGGGCAGCAGCAAGAGAACCCCTCTCTGCAGTATCATGAGCTTCCTGGATCCCTTCCAGCAGTCTTGCCCAGGACCTGCGGTCTGGGGCCTGCAAAGTGTTCTGCGGCAGGCTCCGCAGGGACCCCCAGGCAAGTTGCTGAGATGCTGTCAGCTCCAGGCAGGAGCCGCAGCTCCGTAGTCCATTGCTCAGCGCTTTGTGGTGCTGCTTCTGAGTAACAGATGGCAAACAGTTACACAACACCACCGCCAAGCTTTAGAGATGGTTGCAGCAGCACACACCGCCTGCTGCTGAGGATGTAAGGTGCTTCGTGCTGTCTGGCATCTGGGGAAACTGAGGCCCTGGCTCTCCCATAGCAGCTCCATCCAGGGACTGTGATGCCTGGGAGCGCAGTTATCAACTTTCAAGGTGCTTGCTTCTTGATTACTACTTTGTCCTCCATTCAAGTGGAGGAGATTCTCAGGGCCTATGAAAGCTGTCAAGGGAACCCAGTTTTGCCAAGTGACATCACCTGATCCAGCCAAAAGCCATATTAGTTTGGGTTATCAAGCCAGTCACTGTCATTAGGGTTGAAATTGATTTCGGATGGGACTTCACACACTTGGAAGCCAGGTGAGTCTCCATGCAGGGCCCAGCCCTTTAAGTCTCTCCCAGCCTATCCAGGGATTCCCCCGAATATTTAAAACTTTAATAACCAGCTTAAGTAATGAAGAGCACAGTTGATCCCAGTGGGGGATTAGCTATCATTGGTGATTAATCCAAGTGACTTTTTTCTCATCACAGTCTATATGGGGAAGAAAAGCTCCTAGCAAAAGATTTAACATGACAGGAAAATAAGAAAAATAAGTACATTCTGAATTAAGACTATCCTATTGCCCTTTATGATTCTACCCTCAAGTCTTGATAGTCTGGAGAAAATTCCTCATTTCCCAGGGTCTGTTTCCCATCCCTACGGTCTTGCCCTCTCAAAGGGCTTCCAGCTCACACCTATGGGGTGGTAACCTTCCTCATCCCTGAATTGAAACTTTTTTTTTTTGCCACTCCTGTCAATTGGCAAGTTCTCTCCTAGCAGCCAAAGACATTAGAAACTGAATTGGGTATTGGAGCAGATGTGAGTCATCCGTATTCGTATAAAAACTATGGAATAAAACCCATTATGGCCCGGGAACGCTATGTGAAGCAGCATATGGAGCCAGTGTAAGCTGGGAAGAGGAGGAAGCTGTGCAGTCCAGGGCATATGCTCCCCAGCGCCTTTGGCTGTGGGTTTTCACACTTTGCTTCTGGTTGCCTTTAGCTGTCCTCCTGTCACTCTCGTTCAGCTCACTGCAGAGGCTGCAGCCTTTTGTTCCTTTTGGATCCGATTCCCCTTGTCCCTCCTCTCTGCCCACTGCATGACTTCAGTGAGAGTGTGTGTATGCGCGTTTGTCCTCCATCTGCATGTTTATTAGGCCTGCCACCACCAGCGAGATGCCCTCTGTGCCCAGCCTAATGAGACTGCACCTACAGAGGCCCAGCAGCTTCCTGGTGAGAACTTTACCCCTTCTGGGCCGCAGGGAAATGTAACCGAGAGCAGGGCAGATTGGAGCAGAGCAATGAGCTGACACACAGGCACGCCGGCCCAGCACTGACAGAGGTCTCCAGCAGCAAAAGGTATGGCAGTAAGAATTCAGAAGTGTCTGTCTTTAGTCCACAGTCGTACAAACACGAGTCTTTGGGCCTGTTTTTGCATCCTGCTTTGTTCAAGTTCTCTACCTGTAAATAATACAACAGCTCCCTTTTTCTGTGTTCCTCTTCTTTTTCCTTGCCACTGTAGATTCTGTCAAACTGTATGTCCCAAGTCTCCTGCAAGTCCTTTTTATAAAGTGAGTGATAGGATAGTTTAGGCTGTGTGGTAAATGAGAATGAGCTGTTTCCAACCCTCTTACTTCCTCTCTCTGCCACACTGGTGCATCTTTGTCAAAAGAATAAAGCCAACAGGCTTTTCCTCTTATCTTCGCTGAATAGATAGGTGGCTTTATCTGAGGGATCTGAGCCTCACCTTTCTGGATCTTTCTCTATCCATTAAACACTTCCTTTCACCACCCTACTCCCCTCAACCCCTCCTTCCCTTTTTTTCCCCTTCTGTTCCACTGTATAATTTGCCTCCTGGAAAGGAATTTATATCTTTGCATTTCAAAAGCCTGCTCCTTTCTTTCATTATTTGAAATGCCCCCAAACTTTCTTTGTTCGTCACCCAAATGCCAAGTATAAAATCACTATTGCTGCAATGATATGCCTTTGCTGGTTGTGAAAGTGGTGTGATCTTCAGAGCTGGTGTCCTGCAGGGACCTGAGCCAGGGACCACCCCTCCCGCCATGGAAAATGTAAAGTTCTAGCAGCATGAATGGATGACCCAATTAGCTTAAAGAAAAGTAGAGGGAAATTCTTTAACCTGGATTACCTAGCAGGGTCTCTGAAAGAGGGGAACAGGAGCAGGAAAAGAAATGGAGAGATCCAGAGATTTCATTCATTCCCCAGGACCCAAATTTCAGAGAGCCACATCTGATAGTCACATGCATCATCTCTGAGAGTCAAAGACAGTCTTGTTGTTTAGTTGCTAAATTGTGTCGAACTCTTTGCGACCCCATGGACTGCAGCACATCAGGCTTCCCTGTCCTTCCCTATCTCCCTAAGTTTGCTCAAACTCATGTCCATTGAGTCAGTGATACCATCTTAAGTTTAGAGCATCAGTGAAAGGTGGAAGCAGGCAGGAGAGTTCAGTTCCCGGAAGAAATGGAAACAATCTGGCAGGAATTTCAACAATGAGAGGAGACGCGCATGCCCCAGGTGTGGAAATGGGACAAATCTGGCTCCCAAGACAACCTGCTGCAGCCAATGGCAGCTTTTTGTAATCAAGTCATTAGGGGGTGTTGCACACTGAGCAAGGTGACCACATGCCCCAGTTTGTTTAGGGAAGTATTTTCCTGGCATAATTATTAATAGTGCCCCCTTTCACTTTTAAGAAATTCCTATTTTAGGCAATAAATT